AATTCCGTCCTAATCAATTTAATAGATTCGATGAAGCATCGATGTAAATTAATTATAGAAAACAATGGTGATCGCATTCCCTATTAAATAATAAATCAGTAATTAGTACCTTTCTGACTTTGAAATAAAGTTTACATCATATGATTTGGAGGAGTTAGAAGGAAATTTGATTGTGCCATTTTTTTTGAACACCACTGTATATCCAACTATGCAACTATTTCCATCATAACTCAGACCTTCTACTCTCTTCCTCTCAAACAATTCCGTTTACTGCTCATCTCCTCATCTCTGCTGCTCTCTACTCTCTGGACCATTTGAACAGACTATATACTTCTTATGCATTCTCACATTCTCCTCTTTCCTCCTCAGATCAATCTTAATCTCTCAATTCTTTATTATCATTCTCCTTCTCAAGTTCAAGTAACTACTTCAAAAATTTTTTGGTTTTAAAGTGTCTTTTGTTACTAAGTAAAACGTGTAAAAAATATAAATATAAATTTTTGCAACTTAAGGTTTAGAATTTATTACACAATGGTTTAAACGTAAATTATACAATGTAGATTCTGTACTACAAAATTCTCAACTTTACGTTGTAAAAGTTTATATTTATGTAGTCACATAGAATACTTTAAAACAAAAATTTTTTCATAATCGAAGTTCGACAACCAAAGTTTGAAAATTTGAGTACGACATTACGTGACTATATTTTGATCAATATCAAATCTCTCTGCATCACTTTTTGTTTGTGTAGTAAAAAAAAACGTTTACTATGTGGCAAAAATTGTCTGATAATCTGTGTCCACTCATTTATGCCCAGGCACTGTACATAAATTGACGTTAAGCACGAATTTTCTTGACCTTTTTTTTTCGAATTTTGGTAATCACGATAAACTTTGGCTAAAAGGGTTATCTCTTTTAATACGCACCATCTATACAGAAGCGACTTTTTGTGCCGTTTTTGCCGTTTTGATATTATTATTCATCTGTGCACCAGATAACTGTTGCGGAAAAATTAGTTGCATTATATTGTGCATGCAATACACAAAAGCAGTAAAAAGTCCAACTTCTATAACCAATTTCATTCAAAGTTGGTTTAGTATTTTACAAAAATTGGCATTTACATTCTAATAGACAGTATTGCTTTTATATAATAATGCTTTCTGAGATATGAAGACAACTCAGAGCACACATGAACCCTAACACAGTATTGATTACAAGGTAGAGCTCAACTTAATTGTGGAAACATATTACGACATATATATATACACACATTAGAACTTAATTTATAATAATTTGTGTAAATTCAAGCTTTTAATAGTACAACTTATCAGCGCCTACGTAGCGCCTACTTGCAAAAGCTCACGAAACCAATTCCGTTGATAAGCGCTAAAGGTTTCGGAAAGTTGATTTTAAATAAATGTATCTTAAACGACAACCAAAAAGTATCGCAAAGTCAATCTATTCTTGTTTATCACAAATACAGTCAACCATCCGTAAATACACCCTTTGTAAAGATACATTTTATATTCTGCATTGCACGGATTCTACTCTCTCTAAATGCATCCCTGTAATTTCATGTGATTTCACTGTATCGTTACATTGAATATCTACGAAACGATTGGATGCATGTACGAAGTAGGCAATATGTTGTGAATCAGACCAAGTAAATCTAATCGTTTAAGCAGCTTATACTGACGTCTTGTCTTAATTTCAGTAACAAAAATATAAAGAATTTCTGATCATTGTAATAAATTGTTTAGCAATTTTTAAATCTGTCGTAATTTTAATGACGCAAACGGCTTAGAAATCGCTCATTCACTGTAGCAACGGCAAGACCATAAAGAGTTGCTAAAACATGTGAGAGTGCTTGAACGTTGCATGAGCTTAAAGTCAGTAAGCAAACAACGATGGATGAACTATGAGCTGAGCATCTTACTAATACGTTTGTCACGTGAAACCAATAAAATACGACCCTCCATAAACGCACCGCAAGGGTGTGCATTTGTGGAGAGTTGATTACGCAAGAATAGTGTAACATCCAATTTGACAAAGCAACAATAACTATAACAATGTGTAGTGATTCACTCGCAGAACAATTAGATGCAACAAACATGCAAGTTTATATGCTAGCCTTAGTCTGCAATTATATCTTTTCAACGGAAATTATGATTCGAGTAATTTTAGTAAATATGGCATTCAAGTCTTGATGTCTGAGTCTCCATTGAAGTATTTGAAGAGGCTTGGAATATCAAATCAAGATAACGGAAAAAACTCAGTATTAGCATAATGAAGCAATATTACAGCCCCATACATAATGTTCGATTAGATTAGGAAAAGTATTAATATTGATATGTATATGTATGAATTAAAGTTTGCGCAACAAAAATGCCAAACGTCACAAGAATTTGTTGGGGTTTCAACTGTTTGTATTGGGGGCAAACAAGCAAATACATAAACAATGAAAATTTTGATATAGTAAATTATCAATACATGCTTATTCATCTCGTTGCAGTAATTACTATGAAATGTCGTTATAAGGAATACATAACAATTAGACAATTGCCAACAAATCAAATTGATTGGCCGGCTGATTTGTGTAACTGAGTGAGTCATGAGAACAATTAATATTAAGCGCCCACAAAATACATCATAATCATTGTTATTACTATACTGCATTGTTTATACTGCATAGTTATACTACATAGTCATAAAGCTTTAGCCTTTGATAGACTAACTATCGATAATAAGATAATGTTATGCTGAAGGCGATCATGATTAACAAATTTGATTATATATCTTTGTATCGTTTTACTTTGTCAAATAAATGGGTATAGGCTGATGTATTCTACTGCTCGCTAATTGATGTTGAGATTGTCTTTGTTTACAAAAAAAATTTGCAATATTACTATGTCGGTATAGTGAATATTTGTTATAGAACAAATAATTCCGATCTGACTGGTTTGACATATATATCGTATCCTTATCCTTATCATTATCCGATCAACAACTTTGGTTGATTGTATTCTTCTTTCAAAATAATACAGCCAAAACAACGCTATTCATAATTCCCTTATACGAATTGTAATTTATCCGTATTTGGACAATGGCGTGTAGCGCAGTAGAACAAAGTTTGGGGGGATTATAAATTTAGTTTGTGGGGCATTTCTTTATTTGGGTTTTAATGGAAAAAATTTTAAATAATTCCGTTTGTAATACTGCTAAGCCACTCCCCTATTAGTTTCTTTTTCTGTTAGTTAATGACGTCAGAACTTTTAGAGAATTCACATATTTTATCTTTTATCTTTTTCAAATAACATTACGTCATATCTGCGATATCTAGATAGTTGGTTATACAATATATTTAATTATAATTTCTAAATACTTTTCATATCTTCCTCTTGTATTCTTACGCAAGTAGTAAACCATTCGTATTCAATAACGTTATTGATACACTGTGGCCTCAAGTTTGGGTCTACTTTCAACATCCACTCCATTAATTCCACACACACCTGTGAAGGACGATTATATTCGCTAAACATAAGCGGTCCCAATGCTTTGCATTCTACTTGTTCTTTTTGAAATGGCTTAATGGCTTCAAAAAGTTGGTACAAAATTATGCCTAATACCCATATTTGCGCCGTAGATTGTTTGTATACACGCTCGTACATTTCAGGCGGAATAATTTGGAGGAGGAAGAATAAATTAAACAACAAGTTAATAATAAGAAAGGATATAAAAATTAAGCAAATGTCAGATTTTTTGAAATGTTTTATCAGACAAAAATAATTCGTATATCATATTACATCTAACTAGAATGTTATAGAAATCAGATTTCTACTTACTGGAACCAATAGGCGGCTCGCAGTGCCAATCATTTTCATTTACTTTAATTGCCGAATCAAAATTGATCAATTTTACTCTACCTTCGCCGTTGATGACTATGTTATCCAGTTCTAGTTTGCGGTGATAAATTCCATGTTTTTCCAGATGTCTACACGCCTGTAGCAGCTGATACATTATATTTTTTGCTTCACATTCCATTAAACCATACATGCCTCGTTCATTCGAAAGATCGCGCAAATAATCATTCAAGTTTGACTTTAACGCATTATATCCATGATACTCAAACGCGAGAGTCCAGTGGTCTGTGGAATTAATTCGATGGCAATAAATAAGCTCTATAATATTTGGATGGGGCAAAATTTTTTGAAAGATTGCCGCTTCTTTTGGCAGTTCGATCCCGTCGCGCAAAATAGCATCTTTTTTTGATGCATCGAAAACCTTTAATGCCACTGGCCGACCTTCTGTATGGTGCACGTTTCCATACAAATCCGGTTTTAGTTTCGAGCTTATCATAAAATTCTTTGCAATTAAGAATAAAGGACAAGATAATGCTCGTGCTTTTAAACATTTATCACATTTAACCAAGAGTTTTTTTACAACTAATATCTCATTTCTATTTCCCAGTATTGAATCAGTAGAATCACTAATAAAAAAATTATTCTGAGAGGCGGTTGCCATCACTATACTTGAATGATATCCTTAGATGTAACTAGCGGTATATATAGTTTCGAGTTATTAATGTGTAACCAATACTTATAGTTGTTATCGATTTATGACATCACACACTCACACGTACATTCTTTCCCACGCTCGTAAGACATCTGCAATTGAAAAAATGGAATAATATAATTGGGCAACATTCAACATTCAAAAATACGTATTAAAAAAAGCTAGAGATTACGTGAGTTATACTTCGCTAATCAAACATCCTTTTTGCTATAAGATCAGCGGAGAATTTCTATTTATTGGGCGTTTCACTATCTAACCAAATACAAACAGATAAAGACATCATTTAACCCCTATTGTTATTACTTTTTGCAATCAACTATTTTCCTTTTATTACATTAACTTCTACATTTGTGCATACACTGGTTAAGCTTCCGGGATAACCAAACGTATCTTTCTGAGTTATTAGTAGTTCCATACAACATTAAGACGTAAAGGTCAAATTCACTGAGTTCTTGTCGTCAGATGTTTGCGCCAAGTGTCTAAATTCGTGTTTCAACAGTTAGCAGTATGCAGAAAACACTGTCGCTGGGTTATTCAATCTTGGTATATATTAATGTTCTATTAAGTTATTTATTGAATTAAAGTACAATAGAAAAGCAAAGTAATAGTAATGCGCCTTCTCCAAAGTTTATTTTCAGATATTGAGGTTTGTTTTATAGCGTTCGTTTATCTTATAGCAAGGTTATTATTATTGTGTATATTCAACTGTGTTTGCGGAATTTGCTCGTCTTAACAAGCACATGTCTGCTGATTCTACGAATTCATTTATTGTCCTTTATGGAACAGGCTTTTTATGTAATGCATTTATCTTTTTTGAATTAATGCGGGTTTATATTAATATAATTTATATTAATTGGGTAAATGTGTATGGTGTAATTATGATATGACAAATTCCAAGTCATCAAACGTGGTATTAATTAAATAGCTCAAGATTGACCGGGTATTTGAGAATTGACATTGCCCATAATTTATTGATTATGTCTTTTAATAATAAAAGGTATTTAACCAAAAAAACTGCACGCACGTTATTCATTCAAATTGCTCTTTGGAGAATACATTTGAGTAAGCGTTCAGTAGGAGGTATAAAGAGCCGCTTGCATTAATTAGCACTTAGAGCTAATACTAAATTTTGAAACATCCCTCTCCCAGTTGATCGAAAACAACAGCAATGAATTATCTTTATTATACAATTCTCTTGCAAACACCATGCTTTTATTAATAATTTATGGTTTAAGATTGCTAATACAAAGAGTTTGCTACCAAGAAAATTATGTCAATGTAAAGTACATGAACAGCAGACAAAACTCGTTGAATTTATTGCTGTTTTCAAAATTAGTCACCTGAGAAATTGTCAGCAAAAGATGAGAAAATTGTTGAAAACACGGATGGGTGCATATGAAAAAATTTACTTATTTATTCGTTCACTTGTTTACATTAGTCTCAGAACGTCTGGCTGTCCTGAATGCACGTTTGTATACTATTTCTAAAAAAAAATAGTGCCTTTTGATAAGAGGAGGGTTTCCGATTACAGCGTAATTACGTGCGATTACAAACGAAACAATATTCATATAATAAAAAAAGGTTCAGAGTCTTAGTGATGACTTGCGTTGGAGATGGTATACCTTCAGCATAGCGTGATGTTTTTTCCTAAGAAAAACATTGGCTTATTTATACGAGAGTCGCAGACGGTAACAGGATATCGATGTTGGGTTTAGGTCGAGGATCCTCTCTCAAAGAAACACAGGGGCGCTATTCCGTAACAATTATGAAGGTAAAGATGAAATTTCACTATTTTGACACCATATTTATATCGGGAGCGATCAGCTGCGTAGTAATTTGACACTGCTATGACACCATATTGATATATCGGGTCATCTATATTTCTATTTATATCTGACACCAAATCTTCCCGATGTGGTCAAATCTGGTGTCACTTGTGTGCCAAATATTCACTGTGCCACAGATCAGAATCACTGAGGAAGTACGTCGCCTTTTAGACCTAGGCTTGACATCTCCACTTTGATGAAAGTGCATTTTATTTAGCACGGGAATATGCAAAAGATGACTATGACAGAGAAGAGGTGGATATGGACTGGCTGGCATCAGACCTGGATAGCCAGTCTGAATTGGAGTTGATATATCAAGTAGTAGAGAAGAAATTGATTACATTATTACAGCAATCAGAACCAATCACATCAAATCCACCTAGTCTTTTTGCAATTAAGACAGCACTATGCTTGAAGAAAGTCAATCTCTATAAGCTCCAGGATATGGAACAATATTGTGAGATAATTCAGAAACCCCTGGTCTTATTGGTACAGCATTAGGTTCAATTGTTTGTGAACAAAGAAGACACCACAGACATTTGATGAAAATCAAAGATCCTATTAAGAAATTCTTTGATGCACTCTTAGTGTTTATTCAACAAAGCAAGTGGAAAGTGGTGAAAGGATAGGAACATAAAGCTGAAGGAATTTAATGATGAGTGAGCTATAAAGATTTCATCTTTTATTAGTTCATTAATATTGACTGTCACATTTCCTGGTGTTAATATGTGGACCTTTTATGCATGGGCAAAAAGAAACAAGGTATATTGCATTCATCAATTCCTGAATGCATTTGTATTGTACAGAAAGGAGATACAAGCAAAACTTGTCTCCAAGAGGATGAATGCAACAGGGTCAATGAAATCTTTGATCATTTTGACTTCAAACATCACAAGTAAACAGTGGAAGAATGAAGACCCTAAAGTGAAGGAGATAATTAATGCAACAGGGTCAACAAAATATTTGATTGTTTTGACTTTGAACATCACAAGTAAACAGTGGGAGAATGAAGACCCTAAAGTGAATGTAACAGGGTCAACAAAATCTTTGATCATTTTGACTTTGAACATTGCAAGTAAACAGTAGAATAATAGACCCTAAAGTAAAGGAGATAATGAATGCAACAGGGTCAACAAAATCTTTGATTGTTTTGACTTCAAACATCACAAGCAAACAATGAAAGAATGAAGACCCTAAAGTGAAGGAGAGAATGAATATAACAGGGTCAACAAAATCTTTGATCATTTTGACTTTGAACATTGCAAGTAAACAGTAGAAGAATGAAGACCCTAAAGTGAAGGAGATAATGAATGCAACAGGGTCAACAAAATCTTTGATCATTTTGACTTTGATCATCACAAGTAAACAGTGGAAGAATGAAGACCCTAAAGTGAAGGAGATAATTAATGCAACAGGGTCAACAAAATATT